TTATTATTTACTATTATCTATTATTTTTTATTATTTATTCTTTTTTATTATTTATTATTATTTATTATTCTTTATGTTTTCTTTTGAACTTTGATGTTCAGACACGATAGAGAAACTTCCCAACGTGAGGGACTTTTGGGATGATTTGTGGTGGGATTTCAGTGCTTGGCTTTTGCACGTCGAAGCCTCACGCCGAGGCTGATCTGATGGGATTTTGGGGACCATCTGATGTAGCTTGTGTGAAGGAACTGTCCCCACACACCCATCAGCATCAGGTCCTGCTGATGCTCCTGGTCATGTGATGGGACCTGCTGTTCCTCTTGACTCCTCTTGACTCCCTCTTCTTGACTCCTCTTGAGTCTTCTTGACTCCTTCTTCTTGACTCCCTCTTCTTGACTCCCTCTTCTTGACTCCCTCTTCTTGACTCCCTCTTCTTGACTCCCTCTTCTTGACTCCCTCTTCTTGACTCCCTCTTCTTGACTCCCTCTTCTTGACTCCCTCTTCTTGACTCCCTCTTCTTGACTCCCTCTTCTTGACTCCCTCTTCTTGACTCCCTCTTCTTGACTCCCTCTTCTTGACTCCCTCTTCTTGACTCCCTCTTCTTGACTCCCTCTTCTTGACTCCCTCTTCTTGACTCTTGACTCCTTCTTCTCGACTCCTTCTTCTTGACTCCTCTTGACTCTTGATGTTCCCCTTCCCCTTTGGGTGAGGGGAACATCCAGTGAGACCCCCAGTTGGGCTGGGAGCAGAAGAGGCTGGAGCAGCTCCTCCTGGGAGTGGTGACCTGTGGAGAGGGGAGGTCCTATGGTTTTGGGGGTGGGGTTTGTCTATAGATGCTGTGGGTTGGATCACAAAGCTGGGGTTTGGTGATAGGTGGGACAGGATGTGCTGGGTGGGATCTTCCAGGGGAGTTCATGGACCATCCTTGGGGTGGGAGAAGTGAGTAGGGACGGTGGTGGCTCTGGCTTTAAAGGTGGCCCAGGGTGAGGTGTGGCATTGGCAGCAACTCCCCCCCTTGCAGGGACACTGCAAAGCCCTTATGAAGCTGGGACCTGTTGCCAGGTTGGCCCAAGGAGGTCCCTGGGTGGGAAGGTTGGTCCCTCAGCCACGAGGCACCGAGGAGGAGGAGGAGGGAGTCAATGTCACCCCATGCTGGGCTTTAACCTCTCGTCCTTGCACTTGGTGTAGCATCAACAGGAGAAGAGACTGTCAGCAGCACGTGTCCACCACCAGCCAGGCCATGAAGACTGAGAAGGATGATGCAGTGCCCACCTTCTCCCTGGGGGGTAAATACGCCGGAGAGGGGGCAGGTGAGTCCCTTGTGCCATGGGGTGGGTTGGTGAGAGGAGTCGGGACAGGACAGGGGAGAGAATCACAGAATCACAGAGTGGTTGAGGTTGGAAGGAACCTCTGAAGGTCACATCTTGTCCAACCCCCTGCTCAAGCAGGGACTCCTAGAGCACAGGAACCAGGATTTTGTCCAGATGGTTTTTAATATCTCCAGGGAAGGACATTCCACACCCTCTCTGGGCAGCCTGTCCCAGGGCTCAGTCACCCTCCCAGTGAAGAAGTTCTTCCTGATGTTCAGGTGGAACTTCCTACTCTGCAGTTCATGCCCGTTGCCTCTCGCCCTGTTGTTGGGGCCAATGAGAAGAGTCTGGCCCCGTCCTCTGGCCACTCTCCCTTTAGATATTGATCAACATTGATCAGATCCCCTCTGAGCCATCTCTTCTCCAGGCTGAACAGGCCCAGCTCCCTCAGCCTGTCCTCATCTGAAGGGTGCTCCAGTCCTCTCATCATCTTAGAAGCCTGTGGTCACGCTGCTGTGAGGTCTCTTTGGCCAAATCCCACCCCAGAGGGGTGGCTGGGAGCACCCTGAGGGTGTGGGTGGGTGGTGTGCACGGATGGGCGTCCATGTGGCATCACCCAGTGTGTTCAAGACCCCAGTAGGCTTTACCTTCACACCACCAGCTTCTTCTAGAGCAAAGACCCATCTCTAATGACCCTGCAGGGCTCCTGCTTCTCCAGCCCCTTCCAAGCTCACCCCCCAAGTTTCCTGCACCCCTGTTTGCTCAGGGCAGGGAGGAGGGTGAGGAGGGAGGGGATTTGGGCCGGGGTTGAGGTTTGATAACCTGCACCTTCTCAGCAGGTTGCAGTGAAGCAGCTCTGCCCGTTGGCCCCGTGGTGGGGAGTGGAGGGACCCCAACCCAGGACCTGCGGCCGCTGAAGCGCAGACCTGTCCCAGGTGAGCTGAGCCCCAGCCCTGCCCCGGGGAGGTGACACCAACAACCGGGGCAGGGATGAGGCCAACGGATGTGTCTCCTTCCAGGGAAGCACTACCAGTGCTCAAGCTACGGCTGCAAACTGGCCTTCCCCAGCATGCAGGAGCTGATGGACCATCTGAAGGTCCACTACAGACCCACGCAGTCCCTCGAGGGTAAGGCTGGGACACGCTGCCTCGCTCCAGGGTGTCCTTTTTTTCTTGGCTGGGTGGTGGCTTGAAGCTGAGGCCGCGCTGGTGATGGTGTCTGTACCTCCAGGAGATGCTGCCCAGCACTGGAGGGGACTGGGGAGAGCGTGGGAGGTGCTGGAGACCCACTGGTGGGGCTGCCCACAGCACAACTGGGATGTTGCTGATTTTTTTCCCTTCTACCCCATTTCTTTGTTCAGGCAAAACCTTCCAGTGCCCCACCTTGGGCTGCACGGAGACCTTCCCCAGCATGCAGGACCTCATGGCCCACATGAAGGTTCACTACAAACCAAACCGCTACTTCAAGTGAGTCCCCCTGGTCCCTGTCCCCATCCTGTGTCACCTCCCTGCAGCCACCTCCCACGGTGTGTCCTACCTGAGGGCACCCAGCAGCTCCCAAACAGCCCCAAGCACCTTTGCAGCCCCCCAGAGATGGGGTTGGGGGGATTGATGGTGCCCCAAGCATGTGGGCTCCCATCTTTGCAGCCCCTCAGAGATGGGGTTGGGGGGGTTGATGATGCCCTGATGTGGTCAGGGGGGGTTGATGATGCAGAGGGGATTGTCATCACTGATGTCACCTCCCCAACCCTACAGATGTGAGAACTGCCTGCTGCGCTTCCGGACACATCGCTCCCTCTTCAAACACCTGCACGTCTGTTCCGACAGCGCCAGCAGCCCCCCACCACCCCCCAAAGTTGAGAAGCCCCCC